AGAGCGGTGTAATTTTACATGGAATAGAATCAATATTCTAGAGCAAACAAAAGCATCAAAGCAAAATGAGTCATATAAATCCAAAATTTCAGCCATCTACTAAGTCACAATCATGTAGGTCGTGACCTACTTCTAAGTAGTTATGTATTGAAATGTTTAAAAACAGGTTTTAAGTCATTTAATACAGGCTACCAAGAGGATTTCATTTTAATTTAACAAGTACATTATCCCACAGAAATTCCCATTGGGAGATAAAGTTTTTCACAGTAATAATTTAGACCTGTGTTCATTTCAATAGAGCAGAAACCATTCATATTAAAATACCATAACAATCTTTATGCACAGAACGTATAAACAAGCCTGTGAGGTAGGTTAGGCTGAGAATCAGCGACTGGCCCAAAGTCACTCAGTTGAGCTTCATGGGCAACCTGGATCTCAATTCCTCAGGTCAATATTCTAACCACTATTATAAAGCACTGGCTGTCATTTTTGAGTGGTGAGAACCTCAATCTGAGGTGAGAACTCCAACACCTAAGGATTATTTTTCTGGGCAAACATCTTCTACATAGGACAAACAGGCCAGTCTCTACACAAAGGAATAAAGGTAAAGGTTTAGTGACTGGACACTAAAGTCCAGTCATGCCTGTCTCTAGGGGGTGGTGCTCATCTCTGTTTCCTAGCCGAGGGAGCCAGTGTTTGTCCGCATACAGTCTCCATGGTCATGTGGCTGGCATGACTAAACACCGAGGTGCACGGAACGCTGTTACCTGCCCACCGAAGTGGAGCCTTTTCATCTACTTGCATTTGCATGCTTTCGAACAGCAAGGTTGGTAGGAGCTGGGATGGAGCAACGGGAACTCACCCCGTTGTGCAGATTCAAACTGGCACCCTTCCAATCAACCAGCCCAGCAGCAAAGCAGTTTAAACCACTGCGCCACCTGCATCCCATACACAAAGGAATACATGGATACAAATCTGACATCAGAAAAGGCATTATTTTTTAAAAGACTAACATTTCAACCTCCTGCTGACATCATGTCACTGCCCTTAGAGAAGCCATTCTTGAATAACAGAATATCAAATACAGCTTGTTGCCCAAACATCTGAACTACAATGCACTGAAAGATTAATCTGTATCTGCTGTGGGGACAAAAAGCTTCTTATAACACTAGTTAGCATAGCATAACTTAGCTTAATTTAGCAAAGCAGGATGCCTGTGTCACTACACCAGTGAATGGATACTGTTAATAAGGCAATGATCACTACCTGTATTGCCTGCATTTCATTCACCTCTGACCTCAGCTCATGAACTTTGCCTTTCCACCATGTGTGTACTCATAACTCAGCAGAGCAGTTAATCATTTTAATGTAGCAAACTGCATAATGAATGCACTGGTCTTTAAAGGGAGGGAGGGAACATTGCCTCCATGCTCTTCCAGTCCTGCATAAGATACCTACAGTCCTCCAAGTCTGGAGGCTAACCGGTGTCCTCATTAGATTGTGCCCTTACTCACCTGGACCAGATGAGAAGGCCTTGAGAAAGGCACCTGAGACATTTGAATAAGCAGCAACAGCCATGGTTTATGTCTGGTAGCAGAGACATTGGTCCCTTCAACACCAGTTGCTGGGAAGATACCATAAGATGCGCTTCTATCCTGTTTGCATGCTTTCCACAGGTGTCCGGCCAGCCACTGCTGTGACAGATTGCTGAGCTAGATAGGATTTTGGTCTAATTGAAAGCAATTCTTCTTACATTTTTGAATACAGCTGTTGAATACATCCTGATTTGCTACTCTTTGTCCACCTCCAGCCCCACTGAACAGCACATAGAGCTGAAAGGAAACAGAACCAACCAAGGGCATCATCAGGAGGTTAGGCCTGTGCTTTCCTCCCAGTTTCAGTGCACTGGACTAGTAGTTCTGAAACCCCTGGGGCTTCTTAAAAAAAAAATCAATATATTATTTGAAATCAGAAATATATACAAGTCATGAAGACTTCTCTCTTCAAATAGCAGCAACATTTAACAAAATAACATTCAGTTTTATTTTATTTCAGGTTTTATTCAGAATTAACATTTATAGTTCAAAAATAATTCACTTCCTGTACATACCTTTTTAAAAAAAAAACAACCCATCAGCTTATCAATAAATGCTTCAGGTTAAAACAGTACCATTGCTATTGAATTGCAAGACTGTATTTGTGTATTGCCACACTAATGATAATAAATTAATAAAAGAAAGCTGGGTAGAATGCTAAGATATTTCTTCAAGGGGGAAAATGAGGAAAAAATCATGCACCAAATTCAGTCATCCTATAATAAATAATCATCAGACAATATATAGAAATACATTAAATAGCACTTACACAGGGTCCATATAAAAGAAAAGGGCTGATAAAAAGTAAATGAGAGAAAATTAAGCCCAACAGTATAAAGAGAATCATTTAGATTGAAAACACTCTTCAAATAAGCCCCTTTTGCTAATTGGTATTTCTACAAAATGCCATTTTAAAAGCAAACTCACATACACTATGAACTCAGTCTTTATATTTTATGAGACAAGGGATGAGATATTTCATATTGTTTGGGTCTTATTGCTAGACAGAGGATAGGAATTCAGTTTTCATTTAGATTTCCATAAGACTTGTGTCGGCTTTGGTTAACTACAAAGCATTTGGGTTTCTCAGATTCACTATTCCAAGAGTAAAGCTGAAGAGCTGCCAATGCTCATGTAAGACAATTGGCAAGATAAACAGTAAATTGATAGTCCTGCTATTAAATTGGTATTTCTGGTATTGAAAAAAAAATGAAACAAGAACTTCAAAATGGTTTCAGGTCTTTTGGATACTTTATTGTTAAAAGGCACTCTGTTCACCCATCAGCCTTGAAATTGAGATAGTCTTTGGGTGGAACATTCTTGCAATGCCATAATTCTCTGTTAGTGTTAAGAATATCTACCAAGTCATGTGCAGATCAATGATTTTTTTCCCCCGACAGACTCCTGGCTCATATATCCATGCACAAGAACTATGCGGCAGCCCTACAGGTATAGAACCAAGAAATTCTATTTTGGGACTTGCTCTGTGGCATCCCCCCAACCATTTTTGTGAAAATGAAGGCTGAGTGGACATTGGTCTGGTATGTGTAATTTACATGCAGCCCAATATGAGTCCTCAGCTTGTGCACACTTAAAGCTGAGGACATGTATTTGCATTGGATACACACATGCACATATTCTTTCTTACACACCACATAGATCCTGGTGAAAATCTTTCAACCCAAGGGCCAAATTCCATTTTGGAGAACCTCTGGTGGGCAGAGCTAAAAGCAAATGGGATGGGACCAAATTTATCAGTGCATTTTAGCACCACAGTGATGAAGAGGCATTTCAACCCCTTAGAACTGGGTGAGGGGATTGCACAACAGCTGGAAAACCACTGAGAGGCAGTTCTGGGGGAAGAGATAGCTATGGACCCTGTGGACTTGAGGTTCCGCACCTCTGCCCCACATACTTGACTGAAAGACCTACACACAGAGAGTAGGGACTCATGCACCACCTCAAGAGCTGCTCCCACATGCTGCTCTTTGTACCATCTACATGCCAGGTCAGTTTGCAAAGCGACCCTGTAGTTCTAGACAATCTCAATGTTTATGTATTAGTGGCCCTTCGAACACAGGAGGCATTATGTGTAGCATAATGGCATCAGCCATCATGGTATGACTGCAATCCTGAACACACTGGTTTACCAAGGAGTAAACTCCAACAACCTCAACTGGACATCTGGTTACATATGCTTGGGATCATGATGGAGGTAAGCTATGGGATGTAGCTACAGCTCAAATGTAAATTATCTAGTGGAGCGGGGGAGAGAGAGATTTTGCCAGGCCTGATCAATATTGTGGTCTCCTTTAAAATCCCATGTAGCTCAGTGGCTGGATCTTTACCAAAAGAAAGGAGACCGGCTGACAACATGCCCAAGTATAGGGAGTTAGCAGCCTGCTCTGGTTGGCCTGTGATCAGGTGAAATTCCCTGTAAAGGAAAAATGTTTGGAGGGAAGGCCACATTTGCAGTCAAAAGGGGATTGAGAGATCAACCTTCCAAGCATGGTCTTATACCCATGAATTAAGTCCAAATTTGAGGCTCAAACAGAAGGGACATTAAGCCCTTGAATCCAGCCTGCTTTAAATTCCCCCCTTTTTTGTTACACACACATCCACAACTTATCTGAACATCTGATATTAATGAAACCAAAGCTATAGGTGATACATGAAATGATTGCTTGGTTCACTATTAGAATCTGATTCTTGGGACAGGTCACAAATGTGCACTGGGAAGAAAAGTGCATTTTGAACAATGTGCATATTTATAGCCAATCGTAGTATACTGCCTCATCTCCAAAGCTTCCATTTGCAGTTTCACAGTGGAAATGTACATTTAAAAAAAACACCTGTGCATCAAGCAAACCATCATTATTGGGACAACGTACGGTTCTGGACTGCTTAAAGAAATCTGGAGCCCTGCTACAGCTAAAAGAGCTTCCCCCAGTCTACACATGTGCCACAGCTGAAAAGGCTGCCTTCCTTGTCATCACAAAACGAAAGGTTCAGAAGTTGGGTTCGTATTCCACTGTAAGAAGCCCCTTTCCCAAATACGAAGGGCTTGATCCAGGCAGCGACAGTGCCCTCGTGCAGAACACACTCATTAAGGCACGATGGAGCCAGATTCTCTACGCTCTCCACAAACATGCACACATACACATCCTGCTGTGTGTACTACGTGGGGTGCGAAGAAGGCCGGGATGGGATATGTGAGTGATGCACAGTCCCCCTCTTTCCTACAATGGCCTGTCCTGCCTATACAACCATGCATGGGCTCTGCAGAAGTGGGGCATTTTTCTATGCTATGCTCTATTATGCCCATAATAATTGCTCAATGCACAGGCTCTGCACCCAGAGTGGATCAACTCCAATATTTTTTAATATATAAATATGTACAAAACCAAAGTTAGAAAAATATTTAATTTTTGCAGTTTTAAATAATTGCTGGAAAGTGTTAATGCAGAATACATTATTATTTTGTACAATTAAACTTTTTCATATATATAGATAGAGACAGATATATAAAAAAGCTTATTTTTCATAGCAGCTTTTGCATTGCAAGTGAAAAGGTGTCTAAATATGGTAGAACACGATCTAGCTACGGCTTGTGCTGCATATTATCACATAAGCAACAACATTAATCCTCCCTTCCGGGGGAGCATCTGGTACCAGGGCTAAAGTTTCAGGAACAAGGAGTGCTGCTCCTGAGTGATGTAGCAGAGCTTCTGCCTTGTGTACCTTGCATCGTGATTTTTGATTTTATAAGTGCATAGTACCTTGAAGACGAAAGGGGGAATTCTAGAATCATTTCACAAAAGGTAATATACCAATCTAAACTCAGGTAGTCAAGCTGATACCTTTTTCAAATAAGAATGGGAAGGGTAGACAGAGAGAGAAGCAATGTCAAAGCAAGAGACTGTGAAATGTTAATGCACTAACCCTATGGTAGAACAAAACCACTGCACAATACAATTACAATACCAGCACTCTGCCCATGGTTGGGTGTTTTCCAACTCTTAGGGAAAGGGATATATGAAAAGGGAGGTGTTGCTGAAGGAGAGTATTAATAACTGACATTGAATTTGTTTTTATTGAGTTCCCGCTCCAAGTTTCCTATCAGAATATCAATGCTTTCCTGTAAGTCCTTGAGGTTTACCCGGTGGTTCACTGTGGAATCCATTGTTTGCATTGTCAAGTAAGCCTGAAATGTATGTTCTTTGGACATGCAATTGGGTTGTCCAAGCAACGTCTCTGAACCACCCACTCTGCCAGCATCGTCCCCACTTTCTGCATCTTCAGAAGGGACGTCATCATAGTCTGCTTCGTTCAGAGCCTCTTTGGGACCAGTAAAGTAGCTCTCTCCACAGCCACTCCAGTCTCCAGCATAGCGGTTACTTGAAGGACTATCGAGTCTAGCTGGCCTAGGCCTCAGGATCCTGGACATCTCAGTACCACTTAAGTTCAACATTTGAGGCCGTTGCTTCTTAGGTCTCAGATAACTCATGGAAGATGGCTGCTCGGGTGAGGCAGATCCTCTGGTGATCAGTGGTTGCACTAAGACAAAGAACAGTTTTCATACCTGTTAGCTGAGCTGCACATATTCTAAGAAATGAACAGTGCAACATTTGCCATTCTTTCTATCTGCTTTGACGTGATTTGGAACATGCATTTATGCATGCAGACTCAACAGCCAATACATTCTACTATTTTGGTTTTGGTGCTAGCTAGTAATCTTATATTAGGAGGGGAAAGCCTAAGAAAAAAGTTCTGTCTCAAAACCACCATGCCTTAATCAACCTGTAATGCAGGAGTCCTAAATTTAGAGATGCCATGATTAACTTTGCCAGTTAATCACAATCCACAAACCCAGTACAGTTCAAATAAGAGCTGAAGCGCTTCCATCTGCCATCCGCATTCAGTTGTGTAAGAGAAAGCAGGCACAGCAAGGGTTAAATCATTCGAAAATAAAGTCACTATTCTAGAAAGCTGCCCTTCTGGAATCCAAATGTGTGCAAAGCCAGCCGAAGCTTTCCAATGTTTCTTTCTAAGCAGCCATTAACTCCAGCTCAGAGGGAGGAAAAATACACTCAACACACATTTGGTATTTTTATTACCTGGACTCATGGTTTAACAGCCCAAGAAACTAAGAGTCTCCTCTTGTTACCGGCTTCCTATGATAAACAGCACAAATGTTTTATTGATCAACAACTACTGCATATTTCGTGTATGTCTTTGTCCTGTATATATTACTAAACTCCAAGCACCGTGCCACATTTGTTTAATTTCGGAATGCGGTGGCTGCTTTATGGAATACCAAAAGGTCTTCGGTTCCTGCCCAGGATTAAATCTGTCAGTAGGAGTTCATAAGGGATGTGGCAGGAAGGATAGGGTCTGCAGAAGTAGGATGAGGAATATTTGGCCCTTAAGATGTTGCTGGACTGCAACTCCCATCAGCCCCAGACAGCATGGGGAGGGATTACGGAAGATGCAATACAACAACATATGGAGGACCTCCCTGGTCTAACAAACGACAACGCAGATTATTCTGCACTGAAAGAACTAGAAACAGAATTCACAGTACAGGGAAACAAGGGTTTTTCCCTTATATTTTGTGACAACCTCCCCAGCCACTGTTTTGGAAAGGTATGGGGGCAGAGGAGCTACTATGTTCTGGGTCCAGGAGTAGGCGCCACAAAATTCATTATGCCCCGGCCCATGTTGGGAAAAATTTGTCAGAAGTCATAAAGGTGAAAGATAATGAAGCTAAGAAACAGTCTGTAAGAAAGGGAAAAGTGAGACCAAAGGCATTGCTGTGGTTGGAGAGTTTGAGAGGAAAACAGCTTTAACTCAGCTTTAAAGCCTCTTACACAGTATGTGTGTCACATGGCAAGGAATGCAGAAGATAGCGCAGTCAAACCTTCTAGCAAGTACAGGTCTGGCAAATGTACTACAGAAAGCAGCAGTACAAAGCACTTTTCTGTGAAATCTCCCCTGAACTGGAAGGATCAGGAGTCTGAATGTAAACAACTCCCTTGGGCAAATGGCCAAAGCTAAGAACATATAATGCACATGCAGAAGGTTCAATCCTGGACAGCTCCAGGTAGCGCTAAGAAACAAGAAAATTTTTACTCTTTGGTGAATTTCCTCTTTGAGTGATGGAGGGCAGTTCGCCAAGAGAAGGCCACGCCACCAGGGCAGGAACACAGTCTCCATTTTGAACTTCTCAGAGGAGACAGCATTACCCCTAGGATCCCCAGTTGATTCTTCCAATGAATGCACACTTCTGGCTGGTACTAGACCAACAACTTGCCAACAACGCACTGTATTCTTCTGGAACCAAGACCCCCCTGCTCAGGGCGTTAGGCTTAAGGATTCCTTTAGGTCATCCTGAAAGATTCTTTTGAGTCACTTTTTGAGAAATGGCCGGCCTTTCCCACTCTATTTTGGGGCATTCATGAACACAGAGATAATGTCCTACCTTCTTTCCTTTTCAGGAAACTTCTCTATGGTTCATATCTGTAGCAAGTTTTACAACACTGCTAGAATCATCAGAGGCTGGAGAGATCCCTTAGGTACTCTGCCCTGGAGAATCTGTCCCTACGTGTCTTCCAAGGGAATCAAAGGTCAGAAAAGAACTACCGCCAAAGATCTGAAAAGTTGGCAGCCATCCTTCCGCTAAGAGAAACAGGTTGGAATGCCATGCCAGACCTTTCCCCCTTGCCAGAGCTGGCTTTTCTAAATCTTTGACTTGAGCCTGGGGTGCTGCTGCCATCTTTGTTTTCTCTGGGCAATATTTTGTCGGCAAGGAAGGTCCAAAGGAATTAAATGGTTTGGTCTTTGCTGGAAAGTGTCTCATCTTTTTCTTCTGTATATCTGGCACAACCTTTTTCTTGTTCTTGGTCTCAACCAGGACCTTATCTAGGGATTTGCAAAACAGGTGTGTTGCTGCAAATGGGATGCTTGCCAGGTTGGATTTTGCATCCACGCTGCAGTTTTGCAGTCACATGTTTCTTCTTGGCACAGCACTTGATGCTGAAGCTCTCACTTCCAGCCGGGAGGAGCCTGGGATGGGTCTCCTGAAGCTGCATGAGTTTCCTGCAAGAGCCGCTGTGTGTCTTTTCCCCGGAATGTGTCTTGATGAGCACTCACTTGCCTTAGGCTTGCCTGGCCTTGAACATTCTTTGCACAGGATTTCCAACAAAGGCACCACTGGGTGAGTTGGGGTGGTTTCAACCTCCTCATTTAGGAGAGGAAGTCACTGTAAGGCCACTGGTGCCACTTCATGGTCTGCCAGCGCCAGGATATTGAGGCAGCTAACAGTCAACTTTGGGAAAGCCTTTGGATGGAGAAGGAAACCTTTGTATGGTTTTTCTCTGTACTTGGGAAGCACATGCTCCTCTGTGTGGCTTGGACTCTGGTAGTGGGAGATATGGAGCCTCAAAAGCCCTGTGTGCCCAGGGTGACTGGGAAAATAGGGTTCCTTGCCCAGTCCAGCACCTTTTCTAGGAGTAAGTTGTCAGCAATGTCTCTTTTTTCCACTTCCAGCTTCCATCCCACTGTGTTGGGTTCCTGGGTGGAAGGAAGCCAACGAGGGCTGAGGCTACCCATTTCCTGGTCTCCACTGCTTGCTCAATATTCCAGGTCCTCACTGTGCCTGTGCAGCAGTGAGAAGGAAGCCTGTGGGTGAGCTGCCTCACTAAGGCAATGCACATGAGCAGTGGCATATGGGAATCCTGTCGCCCAAGCACTTCCTCAGCACCTATACAGAGGCAAAGCTTGTTTGTCAGCAATTGGACGGATGAACCTCTTTGCAGAGCAGAAATGCCTACAAAAGTAGGGTTCTAGAGCTGGTTGGCCTAGGATTGATATATCACCAATTTATAAATTGGTGTTATAAACCAACTGGAGTTATAAACCAAGAAAGCTTATTGGGTGGCAGTTGCTCCTTAGCGCCATGGTCCCTTAGGTGATCCACCCACCTGGATACTAGTGCAGAATGGCTGCCTCCACCTTTCCCTCTTTTTTGCCATTGTTGCTCTCACTATTTGAGAGCTTCAAGAATCAGCCTCCCACCAGAAGGCAGGAAGTCAAAGTGAAGATTGTTCCTCCTTCTCCAGGAAGTTCAAATTGAGGACTGCCATCCTGGCTGCAGACGCTGGGTCTAGCTGGCTTCCTCCACTTGAGGAAGTCCACGACTCTAGAGAGCACTGCCATTCTGTGTTGGCAAGGCTGAGTCAGAAGGAAGAACAGTCTGGCTCAGTATTATATTAGATGGCTTTCTGTGTTGCAAACAGCAATAAATATTTCTGTTTAGAAATATGCTGCATACATGTAAAGAGAGGGCAGAAATCCAAATCAATTTTTCTTTCATTAGTGACCCTTAATTTGAAGCACAAAAACTAAAGAGATCTGAAGCACTAAAGATTTTGTGAACATTCTTCACACGACTGCTCAGCATGAAGAACAAAGGGGGAAAGCACTGGATAAGTTTGTTCAACTTAGGGTGCCAGTAATGTGTAACCTCTTGTGTAAGTAAGACATTGCTTCTGATAACCCACTGGACATTATTAGACATTTTTCCACTAGAAAAATCCAAAGAATGCCACATCAACAAGCTAAGGGCCTTCATTTCAGAAACAGCACTAACAATTTTCAACCAGCCAGCTTTGCACTAAATCTGAGGGCTTTGAAAAAATATTCTGTAACTGGAACTACTGTGGGAGTTCTATTCAATCTGAATGGAAAGAGGCACTATCAGATTTTAAAGAAATACAGCAAAATGTAGCATTAAGACTTTGAAAAGGAACATTTGCTGGAATATACCAAAAGCCAAATCCTGCACAGAAGCAACATGCCACAACCAGGATCCAACATACAGGTGTTTACTGTGGCCACCACTTTTGAGCTATTTGTGTGAATGTGCTTTCACTTGAACCCAAACACTTCTGTATAGAAGTCAATCTTGGGAGAGAGGTTATGTCTCTTATTAGCCTTTAACAGTTCTATTTTTTAAAAAAGAAAATGAGATGGGGGGAGCACCCTGCACATCAACAAAAGCTCTTCTGTTTAGGATTTGCTCTCTAAAGAAAAAGGGGTCATGTGTTAAACCCTAAGTGCCAGCTTTGTTACGCTTGCTGAGTGAACAAGGACCATGTGTTTTCCATTTATTTATTTATTAAATAAGGAGCTGAACTGGGGCACAAGCATGTTATCAGGTTTTCCAAATCCATAGGAGGATTAATTTTGGAGACCCCATGCCCTGGCTTTGGTTCCTTCAGAGCAGCAGAGCTCACTGCACAATGTTTAATTAAATTCTTGAAGAGCAAATGGACACTGCATGATCCCGTGCAGCTACAGAAAGGACAGAAATCCTCTCGTTCATGCCAAGCTTTGGTGTTTTGACTATAAATGCATAATTAGACAGAACGGAGAAAAGCTTTCTCCTCATACTTGATGGTCTATAACTCTACTTGAAATCAGTGATACATCAATCCTAGGCCAACCAGCTGGAACCCTACTTTTGTAGACATTTCTCCTCCTCATTTATCAAATTACTGATAAAACCTCAGCTGACCACTGCTGATCGGCAGCTTGGCCATCATGACTGCAAGTGACCTGGAATGTAGGACTGCAGGCACCTGCCCCATCATAGTCTCGGACATTATACAAGTGGCCATCAGGAGATGCTCCTGCTGAAGCTCAGGCACATTGCTCAGAAATCTTTCAGCCTGGCCTACACAGGACAGTCTGGAAAGTAGCTGCCTGAATTGCTACTAGATCAAGCATTGCATTTATAGGGACCGTCTTCAGGAAAGCAGTTGTGAAAAAGGTTAGGAAACAGAAAAAAGCAGAGGGGAAAGGAGTGGTAGACGATCTGAAAGGCGTCCGAAAATCTTTTCAGGAGATATTCTTTGGACACAGGATGTTAGAGTGGCAAGCAACGTAACTTTCAAGCCAGTACAGACATAGATATCTCAAGGAATTTGGATAACTAGTGTGCACTTCTAGATATTCAACCTGTGTAGAGATTGGACCAGCAGAGTTTCTGTCTTCGTTGTAACAAAGCTCTTCTCTGCCCTTACTCCAGTGAAACCTAATCACAGATCCTGCTTGCTTGTATCATAGTAACACATGCATCCAGAGAGCACACTTGCAAAGCCATTAATCACTGAATGGATCCACATGTGCATAATACAGACTTATCCACATACTGCACAGGTTGGCAATGGAGATGCATTTATTACATAAGACACTGGACTGGAAAGCTGGAGCTGGAAGATCAAACATTGGCACTGGCACTGACATTTACGCAACACCCATCTTTAAAACTGAGATGGCTTTCTGCAATTACTGGCCTCCAGCCTTTGCAGCACAGTGAAGTTAGGATTTTTTTTTTCTGCATACTTTCTCTCCCCTATCACAGAGGCTGATGACAGAGCTTGAATGAAAGGAAGTGAAAGCAGTTTCTGAATATGGTTCTAGGACCGCAAAGCCAGCTCAAAGATGAGAAATCCATGCAGCAAGCATTCAGTTCTTTCAATTGCCTATATCAGTAATCAGACAGAAGCAAATAGATAGCACTAAGAAATTTTCCATGTCTTTAAAACTCAGATGGCCTAGGAATGAATTTGTTTACCGTTCTTTGATACACTGTAGATATATTGCAAGTTTGGGAGCTACAGTAAATCTTGCACCTGTGGAGTTCTGAACTGGTTTCCTATTCTTATTGTTTGCCTTCTAGAGGGTAAAGTTGTAAATTTAAGGGTACAGTCCTAGACAGGAGAAAGTCCTATACACCTTCCAGCATTCCCCAGCCAGCAGGTTTTAATAATTCCACACAGAGCCCCAGAGATTTGCTACAGCAGCCTGAAATAGGTTCAAAAGGAAATGTTACAACCTTATCACGGAAGAAAAAAGAATCCAAAATAGGAGAAGGGATTGAAGACCAGATTGGCATTAATTACATTTGTCTTTACACACACAAAACGTGTGAGAAAAAACATAGCACCACAAATCTGTTCTATAAAAACTGTGGCTTGTACTAAGCAACTGAACATCTCTTCAGTCTGTGTTGATGAAGTGACACCACACTTAAAGGTATTAAATGAAAATATCACTCGCACAAAGGTCTGCACTGATTCAAACAGACATTACACTTGATCACAGTCAATTTAACAAGTCCAATTTGCAATTAGCCCATTTTAGGACCAAGCCTCCATCTGCACAACTCATTTAGATCTGCTGTTCCTCAATACAAAAGGCGTACAGTAACAACAGCTGCCCTTTACGTAAAAATAACATTATCTTCCACTGTGCAGTCAAATTTCTGACTTTGATTTGCCAGAATCATCAGCTTTATTCCTGAGTACTGAAGTAGCTCTGCCGAAAATGAAATTAAGCTCTTGATAATATTATTTTTTAGCTTTGGCGAGCATTCTGGAAATGCTCCTGGGGCCTAAGTTATTTGTTGATGCACCAGCAACTGGCGAGGGGAGAAGTACTGAGAGAGGCATACTCTGCCATCACTGCCACCTCACCTCCACGCCAGTCAGTGTTCTGAAACACTACAACTAAATTCTACTGAAAATATGGCATTTTTGCTAAGCAACTTTCCAGTTCCTGCCTATAGGAAAAACACACTGGCCTATTATCCTATTTCGCTACTGCAGCTCAGATGAAACCAAGCAGGATAAATAATTACTGCCACCATCTTTAACTGAAAATATTTTCCCCCAAATGCTTCAAAGAAACACAAAGAATTATTATTATTATGCAATTATACCCCAACTTTCCTCCTCCTTGCAAGAAGCTCAAATCAGTTTACAAGGTTCCCATCCTATTCATTTTACCTTCACAACAACAACCCTGTGAAGTAGGTTAGGCTAAGCATCTTTGATTGGGCAAAAGACAACCAGTAGGCTTTGTGGATGAGCGAGGACTAAAACCTGAATTTCCAAGTTCCAGGCAGTCTAAGACTCTAACTACTATGCTACTAAGAACTTAGAACTTTCTAGTACTGTATTACTGACCTTAATGTGGCTATTTCTGTGGGTGGGATGGAAACTTCAAAGAGGAGGTTTTAGGATGAAATTCAAGCTGAATTACAGCTTATCAAGCAGCTAAATTCTCTCATCATTAGCCTGAACTGAGATAATAGGGTTTTATCTCACTACAGACATTAATTCAGTTACCAATGCCAAGCTATCTGCGTTACCATCAACACGCCTTTGTGAATAGTCACTGTAACCATATTGTGTACATTTAAGCACCAATGTAATTGTCAGTCCATTCCTCACTGCTTACAATATTCTCCCCTTTCTATAACCATTTGTGCAAATTCTTTCTTCCTTATGGTAATACTGTGTGCATCTGATGAACTGGACTCCAATTCATGCAAGTTTATAGCATAATTATTTTACTAGTCTATAAGCTGCCACACAACTCTTTCTTGTTTTTCCTGAACAGACTAACACAACTACTTCTTTAGAAATAAAAGTGAGATTTTTTTTCAGCACACACTCCTCTGAGACTTTTTACCTGGCCACAACTGGAGTAGGTAATGTAAAACTTCTATGTGTTTTTTAAAATCCAAGGCACTGGCAAGCTCTTCTGAATCTGTGAAAACTCTGTTGTTATGATTGGTGGTTTCCTGCCGCTGGCTCAGTAACACAGGCCCAAAACATACAGCTAAGTTCTGGCATGTCATTCTGTTTACTTCATGGTATGAAGCCACCAATTTCAGATGGTCCAGCAGCATCCTTAGAGTTGCCTAAAATAAAGTTTGAAAAAAGAACTATTTTGGTGAGTTAATTATGGAGAGCAGGGGAGGGTGAGAGAGATTTTATCTTCTTTAAGGTCATGTCCTTTTAATGTAGCCACAATATTGTCATTTATGCACAATGCTGGCAGTCAACAGAAAATAACTTTTTGATAGTATTTTTGCATGTATTAAACAGAAAGGCACAGCGATATGGCACTTTTATGTTTTGTCATTATTCTGCCACTCCTCTTCCAGGAAAGCTGTGTAAAGTGCACTAAATTGCAACCCTACACATACTTACCTTTAAGTTAGTTCCACTGAATAGCTAATGCACAGAATTGTGCTGTAACGTGTATTGTTGAGGTGGGACCAGTAACTGCAGCAAACCTTATTTGTTTCTTACTTTTCTGTACTGCCCAATAGCCAAACTCCTCCGGGCAGTTCACAGAATTAGAAGGCTTTGGACCTTTCATTAGAAGCCACATTTGTTTGTATTATATTTTAAACATGTGTATTATATTTTATTATAAATATATATTATATTTTTAACATATTTTAAACATTTATACATTAAATGGCATTCTATTTATTTAGCTTTAATAGCCCTCCCCATATCACCAGGTACAATTCTTAGAGCAGTTTACAAGACTTCTAGGAACATAAGGAAGCCTCTTTTTACCAAGTCAGACCACTGGTCCATCCAACGCAGTACTGCCTACACTGACTGGCAGCAGTTCTCTGGAGTTCCAGGCAGAGGTTTTTCCTATGCCTACCTGGAAATGTCAGGGATTGAATCAGGAATTAAACCTTTTGCATGCAAAGCAAGTACTAAATAATGCTGAGCTATGGCCCTTCACTGGCGGCAGCAATGGGAGACTTGTAAGACCGCCACGTAATTAAAATGTTACTCCTTTTCTTTAAGACATCCACCCTAGCTGTTTTTCAGGGCAGCCTTTGAATCCAAGTTGTAACCTCATCACAAAGCAATGGGAAAAGTAATTTGGTGTTGTGAAAACCAAGCTAGCCCTTTATTCCATATCTGCTGAAGTCAAAAGTAATGCTTTATTAAATGCCTAATCATCACTATGTTTAACTCAGAATCAACTCCCACTGTGTTCAGCAGAATTTACTATCAAATATTTATGTTTAGGATTGAATCCAAAGCTGAGGAATGGGAAAGGGTAAGATGCTGAAGGAACACATAAATAGCCCTTTTTGTAAGGCTTCAGGATTAAGTAACATTGCTTAGAAAAACATTGCCAATGCCTAGCTGCCTGCCTATAAAGTGGTACAGCTGGTTCCTTTCACAGACATCCTCCTTGACAGGTTAGAATTCCATGTTGCAATAAAGAATATTTTGCCTGTACCTGACATTAATTAAGCAGCAGGTTTTACTTAGGGTTGCCTGAACATTTCAGGTTTTTTTGGAGGGGGGGAAGTGACCATATGATCATTTATTAAGTCAATTAAACAACAACAACCACCTTGAAATAGTCAAAAGAGGCACACGATTGTTGACTTAGTCAATGTGTTTTTTTTATTCAAAATTAACGTACTGCCATCAGCAAAGCTAATTCTTTCATTCATGTAGTCATTCCCAGGTGTTTGTGCAATCTCACCTGATTTCATGAACCCTATGTAATATCTGAGCACTTAGGATCACACAGGACTGATCAAAGTTTTCCCCTGCCAGTGCCCTAAAGGGGGCGTATGCCTGCATGCCTAGGGATCTGAGAGAAATCTAAGAGGGGGTGAAAATCCAATGCTGCTCCAGCCATAGACACCTGCCACCTACATCCTGGACCAGACAAAATTTCATTAGAATCACATTATTTCCAGATTCCAATTAGCACAAATCATGCTAGTCCACTTTGTGCAAATTGTGTGATTTGCACAGATTTCCTTAGTGTGTGTTTTTCTTTTAAATGAGAAACTTGCCACCCATCTGAAGTCTATGAAATCTCCCCAGGTCAGTCCACATCTGATCATCAGACTGGAAGCAGGAAGCAAATCCACTGAGCTCAATCAAGCCAGATTTCCCAGCATCAGCATATCCCAAACCAGGGAGGAGCAGAGATTTGCTTTTCCCTTTTTTTCCTTCACTGCTGAAGAGGCAAACCATGATTCAGTTTAGAAAAGGGTCTTTAGTAGAGGGCACCATGCAGCAACTGTTAAACATACATTTAAAAGAGGATCTGCAGCTGCATGCGTTGTTTTCTACCATGTGCGTATGATTTTTCTGTGGCTCCTGGATCTCTATATACATGGGAATAATCCACCAGGCATTCCCTGAGTTCTATGTGTGCACATCAATAAGCATTTTAGTGCCCCTTTGCATGCCAGGTGAACATACAAACTGATGGGGGGGGAGCTAACCCACAAAACTCCCTCCCCTCTTCACATGTTCTTTCAAAATGGGAAGAAGATTTTGTCTGAAGTTGCCTTCTACAGGGGCTTAAATGTGAACTGCACAGAGACTGGCTACGAGATGCTGGACCCAGCAAGTTCTTATAATAAGAAGTGCATGCTAATTCTTTGAATGAGATATACCCACCCAAATATAAATATTTTCAATATTTGTGAAAAAACAGCAACACAGAGATGACAATATTGCTATGATTAAGGGTGCATTCACTCAGTGTGATGTGTCTGGCCATCTGTTTTAGGTTCATGAATACCAGGGTCTTATGAATGAGCCTACTTGGCTCGAATCAGCACTTGGTAGGTTTTTTAAAGTTTTTATTAAACTAAGTTAGATATGACATTTGATAAACCATCCAGAAGAGGCCAATAATACTCACCTTCTCAACTTCTGGCAGGCAATCCAAGAGAGCCACTGTGTGCTCAGAATCACTAGGGTCATTCTCACATCCATTTGCTGTCATTTTCAAAGGTTTCTTCACCATGGCATCCAACACTGCTTCGTAGAGTTGTTTGGTGATCAAGGGAGAAGGTAATTCTCTTAAATAATCCTTGAGGACACCTTTGTAAGAGATGCAAACAATGTGCAATGAACTTACTTACACCAGTAGGCAACTCTGTGGAACGCTGAGAACATCAGGACAGGCCCCAAGTCCACCACTTTGTGCATTCCCAGCACTGCCTCTCAGGACAGGATCTCAAATCATGTGCATGAGCAAGCATCCCTCTGTTTGCCTGTATGGAATCTTGAAGTTAATTCTGATTCTCAAATCTGAGAACAATTCTGTGAACAACTAATTGTAAGTTTGCAGGCCAATATAACACCAGTTGTATACAAACTACATTGCTTCCTAGTTGAGCCCAGACCCAATTTAAAGAACTTGTTTTCACATATAAAGCCCTAAACGGCTTAGGACCTGGCTACCTAAAGGACCATCTTCTCCCATATATACCTACCCACCCATTAAGATCTGGGCAGGAGGGCCTTCTAAAAGAGCCATTCCTCAACGAGAGGCATGGCAAATAAAAGAAGGGCTGCCGTGGTGGCTGCCCCCCAACCTTATGAAATATACTCCTCAGAGAGATTTGCCTGGCACCAATATTATTCTTTTTCTGGCAGTAGGTGAAAACATTTCTCTTTACCAGGTATTTCAACAACTTATTTTAACTTATACATCATTATATATATATACTATACATCATTAACATTAATTAAAATATGTTGTCCTAACTTGCCATATTTTAAAAAAATGGTCACTAATGATATGGTTGCTGTTTTATTATGATGTTTTTATATGATTTTTTATCATTTTATTGCTTTTAAGGATCATGTTTTGACTATTGTTATAAGCCACCTAGAGATCCCTATTGGAATGGCTGGTGGTATACAAGTGTAAAATTAAATGAATAAAGTCTCAGTTTAACTCTTTCCCCCAAATCCTTTATTTGCTGAACCATTTTTCACACTGAAACAAGACTGCCATTCACCATGTAGTTCTTGAAAACTGACCAGCTCCTTCCAGAAGTAAAAGTATTCTAGGTCATGGCACTACTGAAAGCCAAAGAATGAGCACATTCTTACCAAACCCCATCAGCTCACACACAGGTGGGGTCTGGGGCAGATTTGATATCCAGAAACAACTGTTACTCCACATCATTCTTCAGTCCTGAGTGTCACAATCAGGATTCTCTTGGAAGAAGGCAAGGAGCTGAAGCACGGGTAAGGATTTTATTCACTGTAGGTGGATCTATACTTACAGTGAAATGAGGTGGCAGAATGGTCTACTCAACCTAAAAGTGGAGCCCAATATTTTAGGATCTGCTACTTAAAAATCTCCTAGGAAACAGAATACACACTGTTTACCCTTTTGCGTGCTATGTGGCCTTTTCATTATTTGAAGAGAGCTCTTGATGTAGGGAACATTAAAAAATATGGTCCACCACCTGCAGCTAGAAATCATATAGCTGATTCTGTTGCATGTGTAGACCAGATCCAAGGTTCTATCTGCTCCAGAACACAGAGTGTATTGCAACTGTGGAAGAAGAACTGGATCAAAGAGCCATCAGGTATTTCTTGCACGTACCCACTACTGAAGGAGGTAGAAGGAAACCTTTAGCAAGCTACTGAATTTCTACACTACAGTTTACACTGGTTCATTGCCTATGTTTACAAATATCTTAAACTGGTGCCAACTGAGCCAAGACTAGCACTGCTCTAATGCACTAGGCTTTCCCTCTTTAACATAAAGTGCAAATGTTCGTTTCAACATGACGAGGCCCACAAGGAAACAGATTCCACAGATGAATGGGTGGATTGTAAAATGGCATACACATTCCTATGTAAGAATATTTATTTCATATCTTAAACACTTCATATATTTTGCTTTACAGGATTTGTAGTATTAGTTATTTCAGCAGGATAAAATGTAAGAGCTTGTGTGCCTCATCCAACTGTAAAATTGTAATCTGCTTTATTACAGATAGAACCTGAATCCCAATCAAAATCCTATTTTAATAAGGTTCATGTTATATAAATCTGCTCAATAAATTAATTAAATAAAATAAATAAACTCCACAGAATATCTAGGCACAAAAAGTAGAGGATCTAACTTTATAAACTGTTAAAATCTCAGGCCTGGTATCTAACTTTTAAATTAAAAAAAACCCTCTTTCATAACCATTTATGAGCTATTAACCAAATAGGTAAGGACAACCTGCACTTTAATAAACAGCATCATTTAATGTAGGATGAAAACAATGGAAACTGGAAGTAAGAAGCCGAGATACCAGTTTAAGTACCTGCCAAATAAAGGCCCTGTTAATCCCCAAACCATGACAGAAATACCACTGCTGAGTGTTCTTTAACAAAGCAAGACTTGTTGCAAGCCTCAGAGTGCCTACCACAAATCCTGCCCTATGACCCAATTGTAACGTGAACTGTGTTAATTGAAGACTTTGTTAAGAGTAAAATCCTCAAGAGTAAAGTGAGGGATTCCATCTTCACTCTTCACTGAAGGGAAGCTCAAATAGCCCTGAACACTACATAATTTTAGTGTCAAGGTAAAATGGCTCAGTCAGAATGTAATGACTAATTGCATAATCATAACATGACAGTAAACATCTCTTTATGAATTCCACAGCAGCTAAGAGGCAACAGAAATCCATCAGGCACCAAACCTAGAAATCTTCCTGGCAAACAAGGGAAGTTTTCTGGTAACTTGCAGCCCAAAGGGCTGCATTTTTCACAATTATTTTGAATTAGATGTATTAGACCACTACAGGGAACAAATGGAGAGGAATGGATTTTGTTTACAAAGTGAAAAAACATAAACGTGTCAAATGTTCCTTAAGAAGAGTTCCATCAATTTTCTGGGGTTGGGGGATGATCTTGCACCAAGTGAGGAGACAGCTATCCTATGTTTCTAAAGCATTTAGTGCAGAGGCACTACTTGGAACTTCTATTAATAATATCAGTGCAGAGCTATGCAACAGAGTCACCTGGTATTTCCTTCTCAAAACATTTTATCTTGCTTAATTCCTGAAAAGAATAACTTGTGAGCCCTCTGACCCACCTCCAAATCCTTTTACTAACTGAGCCCTGTAAGAGATGGCAGTTATTTTTATGGACTTGCCTCTTCTGACAGCTGTAATTTTCTTGATTCAACCATTGTCCACACAGAACCAATTTAGGCAGCAAGCAGAAAACACATAGCCCCCCGCATCCACCTCATTAAATTCTCATTTTTCTGACCCACTGAACTGTTAACTGTACAACTTGCTTTACTCTAAGATGAGAGTTCACATGGCTGGAAGCAGACATGATGCAGCAATATCAGAAATCAGCTAGCATTTAAATCCAGCAGGCCACGTTATTCCAAATCACATGTGCATTTCATTGAGTGTAAGCCAGTGGCCAGCCATTGGAACATTTCTCAGTCAAGGCTTCACAATTAAATGTGCATTCCTTGACCAACTGGGGAGCTTTCGAAACAGAGACGCCTTCAATGTCTTGGAAAAAATAGACAATGAAATATGACATAAAAATCTTTTTGAAGAAAAACAGCATCAAACCAGAAGCTGCTTAAGAGCTACAATTTAGACTGAGTTTTCAGCAAAATACCTTTAACAAGAAACACATGTAATAACATATTCATGAACGTATCAGTTTGAGCATTACAAATGTTTAGAACTAAAACTGTCCCTAACCCTGAAAGTGCAAATGTATTTCTTTTCTATATTTCTCTTATGTGGCGTTTCTCTAGTGGCATTTCTCTCCTCACTATTCAAACATCGCAATTCAATAGATGCACTTTCTAAGAACAGAATTCCATATTTGAGAGCTAGTGTGGTGTAGTGGTTAAGAGCATGGGACTGGGACTCAGACGATCTGGGTTCTAGTCCCCGCTCAGCCATGGAGCCAACTGGGTGACTCTGGGCCAGTCACAGACTCAGCCCAACCTACCTCACAGGGTGGTTGTTGTGGGGATAAGATGGAGGGGAGAGATGATGTAAGCTGCCTTGAGCCCTTTGTAGGAAAAAGGCAGGATATAAATAAAAAATAAAGAAATATTGACAATCTTCACAGTCTCCTTTTTTAAGGCAAGCATCTAGCTGGCAGGGTTACAAGAGCCTAGGAAATGTACAGCACCGTGAAGAAGTCATGCAGTGGGCTTTACAGTGGAAATGTAACAGCCCCTATTTCATTTTCATGATTACTGACCTCAAAACACAAGTTTCATGTTCTCTCATCTCTTTATCCAAGTATCTGTCATTTTGGCTGACCTTGCAAAAACTGAAAACAAAGTAAGGTCACCATCCCCTCTCTTCTTCCAAGTGCCTCACCAATATTTCACCTAGAGAAAGTTAAGTGGGGCACAGGTGCTATTTGTGTGTTACTGGCAAAGGCTCTCGGGATATCTCTGTGCAGCTCCATCCAGGCAAGTTCCTTTGCGAGTCTTTCTGGGTCTAGATCAGGAAAGGAGGGCAGGAAATTTTGTCACAAAGGTGCTCACTAGCTAGGCAGCCGATTTTTTCAACTCTGGAGAGGAGGTGGAGCTGGAAATGGTTCTGCGAGTACAAAGATGCTTTCCACCAACCTCTGAAGCTTCAGCACCAAAAGAAACCCTGATCATATGTCATGCTTGCCAGAGTGCTGTGGCACAGTTGCTGTGGCAAGAAAAATGCAGGAGTCTGCTTGCTCATATAGGTCTTGAAAAGGACCTTGGTAAGATAGTCGTTTGGGAAAGCAGCTAAGAAATACACTTTAAAAGTAATAGCTTTACTCTACCACATACCACTGGTAACACATGAGGGCAAAGGCTTGCTGCTTTCATGTCCCGTTTGTAGGTGTTCCACAGGCTATAGCTGTTAGTGGAAACAAGATAGGTAGATCCTTGGTCTAAGCTTGCAAAGGTACATAAGAACACAAAAAATGAATCTGGAGGTACCATATACTCATCAGACTAGTTGCTATTGATAACCTTTTCTTCCATGGACTTGTTTAACCCCCTTTTAAAACCATTCAACTTGGTAAGCATCACTACATCTTACAGGAATTAATTCCACAGTTTAACTATGTACTGTTTGAAGAAGTGCTTCCTTTTATATACACCCTGGATCCCCAACTCATCAGCTTCAGCAGATGACACCAGGTTTTAGTGTTATGAGAAAGCAAGGAAAATACATCACCATCATGTCACTCTCTACATGCATTTTTCCAAGCTAAGCATCCCAGACGTTGTTACTTTCCCAATAAGAGAGTTGCTTTTGATTTTTTCCAACTCTATAGCATTTTTGGGTGCAGATCAGAAATGTACGCAGTATTCCAAGTGTGGCTGCACCATAATTATATTTAAATATGTTACTATACTGCCCAACAGCCAAATTGCCCAAAATGCCCAAATTGCTCTCTGGGCAATTTACAACAATCCATAAATACAATATGAAAACAGACAACAAGAGCATTATAAAAGGTTATAATTCAAAACTGAAAACTAAATTTAAAACAAATGTTCAGCCTCGAGAAAAGAAGACTGAGAGGGGACATGATATCCCTCTATAAGTACCTCAAAGGCTGTCACAAAGAGGAAGGTCAGGATCTCTTCTAGCTGATGTCAGAGTGTAGGACACAGAATAATCAATTCAAGTAGTGACGACCCCGATTCAGGCTAGACATAAGGAAAGGCTTCCTCACTGTCAGAGCAATCCAACAGTGCTCTGGAACCAGCTGCCTAGAGAGGTGGTGGGCTCTCCCACACTAGAGACATTCAAAAAGAAACTGGACAGCCATTCAAGTGGGATAACTTGGTGTCCTGCAACAGCAGCAGGTTGGACCCGATGGCCTTCATGACCCCTTCCAACTCTACTACTCTATGATTTTATGAAACGTAAAAAGCTGCAATAGCTTATACAAGTTAAACCAAAATATCTGTTTAAGCAGCTAACAAAACCCCAGTATAATAGTAAACCAGTTAAATGCCTTGTGGTAGAGAACCATCTGAACCTGGCACCAGAAAGATTAAAGGCTGCATTAAAATATTAAAATATATTGATATTAAAATATATTAAAATTTGTATACTGAAATACTAGCAGTTTTATTTTAAATGCCTCTTCTACTTAGGCCTAATATGTACTTGGCCTTTTTCATAGTAGCTGGACATTTGGGTTGATATTTGTATCACAACCCCAACAACTCTTTCTTGATCAGCTCAGGCCCCATCAGAGTATAAGTCAAGTTTGTCTTCCCTTGTATTCTCATTACTGCACATACTAGAAAGCAAAGTTTGACCACACAAATAAAAACAGCTGCAGCAGCTCAAATTCAGAGGCAAGAACACAAGGGACCTTCTACTTTTAAAACTGCTGTAATTCAAATGATGTTCCTTAAAATGCTCCGTCCTACAGGAAATTCCACTCTTGAGATTTGTTGTCATCCAAAAGGAAGGAAGGCAGCAAAACAAGAATTTTCCATTAAAAGGAATCTAGGAATGTTTTATCCAACTGAGTGAAAGCTTTATTCTAAACTAAACTGTATCAGACCAGTCAAGATATCCCAAGGAAGCTGCTTCAATGCAGCTATACCAGAGATAGGACTTACTGTAGATTGTGGAACCTGAAAACAGACATAGGGTTGCATCCTAAAGGACCAATTCCACCCCCCCCCCCCAGCTTGCAGTTAAGACAGTGATACCAGGATAAAGAAGCTAAAAATTGCCACGTTTGAATAGTATTCATAACAATTACTTTCAGGACTTGCTTATGCAATATAATATCAAAAGGCTCCACCTTGTTCCATAAATATTAAAAATGTTAATTTCAAAGTGATATTCCAGATGTTTCATGCATGTATTCACTTACAAGTCAAGTTTGTTACCTGTTATCACATTTATATCTGGGTACTGGGTTTCACAGAGAATAACCGCTTTGCTATCCTTCTCAAATGCCTCTCGGAGCTCTTTCTTGACAGCTGCTGATCCACATAAACGGTACAGGCCTACAACCTAGAAGTAAAACATAACCTTACCATATGGCCCCAGTTTGCCATGAAAAGAGGAATAAGAATGTATCATATATCAAACTATTTTAAATATTCCCAGCACTAAGATATCCATGCAAAATTCCAAAAGAAATTGGAATCACTGGCTAGCAGAAACATGCTGAGAGGTGTAGGGTTTTTTCTGTACTAACACGCATAGGATTGCACCCTAATGAAATTCACAATCAATGAATGGTTTTGTGTTCGTAGTTTCATAGCAGTGGTACAATTTATCTTATGGGACTTTTCAGAGAGCAATTTCCTTTGTAGCTAGATCTTCTACAGCCAATTCAGATGTGGGGAAAATACACAGCAAGAAAGATGTAGCCACCTTCAGCATTTTAATGGAAAGATTGGTATATATGTAAACAATAACAACAACAAAATGTGTTGGTATGGAGCTATTACTTTTCTGGCTGTACCGTTGTAATGGACCTTTGGGCTGCTATTTGGATGGGTGAGGAAAAGCATCATTCCCAATGTACAGCTTGTAAGCATTAGGTGCTAAAGGTACTAGACACTCAAAGAACTCTGTCTGGAAACATCCTATTACAACATTAAAGTTTAATCAGAACCACAGAAGAAGTTGTCTGGTCTACACAGAACCTGAAATTCAGTTTTACATTTTCTCTAACAAGGGTGAGAAACAGATCAGTGTTTGATCTGCAGTTAAAACTAAGGTGTCTGCTTTAGTTATTTCCTTTAAATGACAAAGAATCTCGTAGCACCTTGAAGACCAACAACATTATTATGTCACAAGCTTTTGTGGACTACAGCCCACTTCACCAGATGCAATAAAGACACTTTTGTTATTTTTTCCGCAGCAGAATAACATGGTTGCTCCTCTGGAAACTGCTATATTAAGTGTTTTTGATGCTCTTTATGGCTAATTTCCTTAACTGTTGTGGGTAAAGCAGGAATATATTCGCAGTCATTATAGGTACCTGCAAACAAGTTGAAGTAGAGAACTATTATGGTATTTGTTCCTAACTGTTCTCAAGGCTCAATCTAAGATGTTGGTTATCGCTTGTAAAAGTTCTAAGGGCCACAGTAGATGCATTACCATTCATACAACAAGGAATAGTGTGAATAACACGTTCAGGTTTTTAAAATTAACAGCAGGTGAGGGGATTCAATCTAGATCAAGATCTTGGTGAGGTAGAAGACTTTGATACACACAGTCCACTCCAGTGTGTGTTATTCATCTTGGAAGTAAAACCACCATTTCCACCAATGAAGTTTTCCTTCCCACACAAACAGCAGGCACAATCGTCCAAATTTAATAGGGACCACATTGGGGGGCAAAGAATCAAAGCCTGCTAAATCACCACACAAAGGTCCTGAACTGATTGGGCTCCCTATACCTGCTGTTATTTCCATAACAGCATCATGTCTAATTAGTTTCTGATGTCAATGTTTTCACATATCTTGGGGTCTTTCTTTATCCCAAAGTCTGCACAAATACATCTTCTCAAAAGGTCTATTTCTGCTTAGGATTACAAAGATATACAGAGAAGCTGGCTGAAGAATGTCTTTCCTGAAAGATCCACTTAGGTTTGAGCCCAAACAGTTTCTGGAATCTGCCTAAGACTTTTTCAAAAATCAGTCACCTCTTCATGGGATTTGAAATTTGGTATGCAAGGAGGTGAGGATTATTTTCATAAATCTAATGCACTTCATGATCTCAACATTGTTATCCACCCTGAGCTTTTCAGGTGAGCCATAAATCAAATAGGTATACACACAAATTGTCTGAAGGAATATTATTCAATAATCCCATTCTGACTGAATGATGCAACAACCAGCTATACACTCTGACTTTATCATGTAATAACTGCAATCCACACAGAAGCAACACAATATGTAAACTTGGTCTATGAAGAGCAAGATTACGTGTTGTGAAGATTCTCTCCATCACAACTGTCTGCCACTATTTCAGCTTCCACAATGAAGCCTTATAAACTAAATATTCAGTTGGATCACTTTTGTCTTGATGAGGAATAAGCAGATGACAGATTCATGAAATTGATGATGATGATGATGATGATGATGATGCTCTACCAGTCAGTCAGACACAAAATGGTAGCTCAAGAGTTGGGAGCGAATCATCTACTGTGAAATATACACTAAAATACACCCAAATCTGCATGTGAGTTACCAGAGAGACTAACACAACACTTGAAACAGGTCACCGCTCCTTTTCTATGTATGAGAAACACTGACACCAAGAGATAAGCAATTAGCATGAGAGTAGCCACAACACTGGGCTTTTTCTTGCTTTCATTAAAGTATTAGGTGATCAAAAAACCCTTGATGATCTCCTGCATGCCACACAATATTTACTAATGGATTCCAATCTACCTTCTGTCCATCCCTGGTCTAGATGGGCAACCCTCCAAAAAATATATATTTTCCACGTCCCACTGCCATATGTTAGGTTTGGCGGTCCTACACTCTATCAGAAACCTAGCAAACATGGTAGAACATGCTGATTTCTTTCACCCTTTGACCCCTTGTACCATAAAGACCATATCATGCTCCCATTGCAGTGCAAAACAGAAAGCTTGGCATCATTCTGTTACAAGGCAGTTCATGACAGCCAACTGCCCAAAGGAAGTGAAGCGATGGAGGGTATACTCAAGAAATAGGTCACATTCTTTGTAGATCAAATACATAAAACATATTATTGCCCAAAACATCAGTAATGAAATACAGAAATATCAATAAAGGCATTAAAAAAAGCTACCTGGCAGCCTCTTTTTTCAATCTCCATAATGCACTTCTTCATCAAGAGGGGCACCATCAAGCCTACGTTCTCCTTCTCAACAACTTTCCGAGCATCAACTCCAAACATTACTGGTTCTTGATCTCCATCTAGTCCATTGAGAGAGTTCTCCCACTGTTCCAGAAGGGTCAGCTTGACATAAATAAGGCCTCTGGGCTCCAGCTTTACCGCCAACTGATGAGTCTTTGTCACTCGAAAAAGAGCAGGAAGAACCACCGTACCATGGCAGCAAACCCGGTTTTTCCGTGGCATGGGCTCCCAGCTGAAGACCACTAATTTTAAATGCTGAGCATTTTCTATTTCTATGTTGAAAGTATGATCCATGTCCAAAAACGTTGTTCTGCATGTCAGCAAGGCAGTCCTTGCTTTATTCACTGAATCTACCTGAATTGCACAGAAAACATCCTTTGAGTCCATCCGTGGTGGTTTCAGATCCTCTGCACCATAGAAGTGAATGCTCATGAGTCCAGATATGTATTGGGAACATTTGGGCTGGTCAGAAAAATTGTAGTGTCGGAAAGCATCAATGTCTATTTCTGTCTTATTACCATTGCTGCTTGGAAATGCTTCCTTTCCTTTCCCAGTCCTGCTTTCAGCTGCATGTTTCCCTGATTTCGTTATAAGCTCGGGAGAGTCACCATCACTGAGGTAACCCCCTTTGCTAGAAGATTTGGAACTCCCATTGCTTTTTTTTTTGTAGCTGTGTTGCGAGGATACACTACTATCAAGATGATACCGGCTTATAACATTCCTGCTAGCAGCTGCTATGTTCCCAGAAGAGGGTAAAGATGCATGGCCTATACTCTGGCAACTGGGTTTAACCAGTGAAGAATTATCTGAACTATTATGGCTTGAATTTCCTTTGACGCTCAGCTTCCTGCTGAGCTCTGGCAATTTTTTCATTTTAATGGAAAGTTTCCTTACTGTTCTTGGGGATTTTATTTTATCTGGGAAAGACCAGTTTATCGAACCAACCTTTTTCAAAGGGGTTGGACTTGGAGGAGAACATTCTACCATTCCTGTCTCAGCTTTGCTTGTAGACAAGATTCCAGATCCTTCAAAAAAAGAGAAGAAAGGAACATGTTTTAAGAACTCTATGTTAAAAGTAAAACTTTGAAATGAGAAGCAATCTTTTTTTCATGTTCTGAGAAAGTGTTTAGAAAGATGCTGAGCACTGGCTGCACCCCCCACCCCCCGCACACACACAACCTGTGTACTAGGTACATTTGTTCTAACCAGAAACCTGTCCCATTGTTTCCTTAGGAAACTGCACAAAAGAGAAAAGAAGCAACCACAGTTTAGGAACAATTAACCCATCCCTGAAACTCATGTTCAATTCTGTCCATATTGTCTTCTCACACATGTTAATTTAACTTCTTTCAGAAAAGGAGACCACTGAATACAACTGTTCTACCTGAGCAAGTCCTTTGAAAACAGATTTCTGTGCTGTGCCTGCATGCCTAAGTTTTGGAAAAGAAAGGAAAATGAAGAAGACCAGTTTTGCTTTAGCACCTGTATCTTTTAACAGCTGAGCAGACACAGCTGGCCTTTTACCATCCTTTCAAAGGAGGCCTAGAATGGTATTTCACAGTAATTTGCCTGCTTCCATTTTTCACTGGCAAGCAACCATGTGCAACTCTGTTTATTCCGCCAGGATGGAGGTGGAATGCATTGGGAATTTATTCTTCTCAATGCTTCCAACACATCTCATCTCTTCAAGCCCCCAAATACTTCCTTCCTCACTTGCATAATCCCCCTTATGTATCTCATGAATAATTGTTTGTTCTTAGATGATAACCACCTAGGCGGTAAGACAGGCTCCAGTCGATTCAGCTAAGTGTCACCAGCTTGTATGATTACCCACAATAAGTTTTTAAAAACCTCATTAACAGAAGGGAGCGAATGGAAGGCATGAATGAAAAGACTTGTTCACAAAGGCTGTATTTGGGCATCACAATAAACCATGGCTTACTGCAGCAGAATAAGTGTAAGCAATCTTTGAGCTCAAATGAGTCCTCTCTTCTCTTTTTCCAAAGTGTTCAAAAGGAGGATGTTAGCAGCTTTCACTTCCCTTTCTAATTAACCACAGTTTATCATTACATCTGAACCCTAAACTACAGCTAATCTTATCTATATATTGGTGAAATAAGCCATAATCCAGAATTTGCTGAATTTGAATGGAATAATAGACTGTGGTTAATTGAAAACAGAAGCAAAAGTTATGATGCTTAACATGCGCCTTGGGGAGCTCAACCCATGAACTGAGTTATGAACCCTCATTACTGCAACCATGCTTTGGAAGAATGTCTGAGCTGAGCCAGAGATGCTAGTTGTATTCTTACCTTCTCTGAGGGAGAGCAGGGCCCTGAACCACAATTTATAGTTACACCATAAACAGGTTACTGAGGCAGCTTCTGAAGGGAAGAACATGCTCTTATAAAGCTCGTTCTCCAGAGCTCCCAGGTAGTGCTCATCAAGGCCCTGAGTGCTACAGAAGAGTTTGGGACTAATCCTGCAACTGCCATGGTGGTTGCTCTGGTGCTTAACTAGCAGATGAAGCTCTGAAGATGCCTACATCTGACACTAGTTAGCAATTAATAATCCATAAAGTGAACCCATTATTTCTTGCTGGGCTGTGAACTGTGGTTTGTCATTTTGGCTGGGTTTGGACAACACAATAAGCCATGTTTCATCACCATTTATCAACAACCCACCCTCAACCCAGTCAGAGAGTACATGTTGTTAAGTTACAGAGAATCCTTCCAGTATCACTATGGCAGTCCAAGAGTTTCAGCAGACTCTACACTACCAAACCAACAAAATTATTTACTAACAAATGACTATATCTGCAATTTCTGCAAAAGCCATATTTTAAAAAGAATAAAGTTGATATTCTAACAACATTAGAATTGCCCAACAATCTATTCACATACAAGCCGACACAGACAAAATATTCCATGAAACTACCTGGGCAGCATAAGGTGGCACGTTCTTAGCAAAATGGGCTATGCAAGAGGCAGGTAAAAAGCCTCCAGAGGCCACAATGAACCATAAAGCCATCACTTGCCCAGCTCCAACAAAGACACTCGGAAAGCAGTCCTATTAGCCTGAGTAGCAAAATGTTCAAACAGAATAAACATCTTAAGCAACACTGCAAAAACATTATTAAATATCTATACTTGTCATGCTGTATATTTTAAGGACACTATGTTGGGAATATCAACCTGCATTCGAGCCATTGTGTTGGTTAGAATACTGGACTTGGGACCTAGGAGAGCCTGGTTCTAGTCCCCACTTGGCCATGAAGCTCACTGGATGGCTTTGGGTCAGCCACTCAATCTTAGCCTAACTTACCACATGGCGTTTTGCCACGAGGATAAATGGAGTTCAGAGGGACTATGTAAGCTGCCTTGAGTTTCTCACAAGAGGAAAAAAGTAGGAATATGACGCTATATGGTAAGAACAACATTCACAAGACTAATCCCACCTGATTCTACAACATCATGCAGATAATTCAATTTTCTTGCCACTCTTCAGTTTAGAAACGGAAGCCCAAAAAGTTAACATTCATCAGCATTCTTCAGGATCTATGTATTGCATTTTTATTAACTGGTGGCAGGATAACTCACTTTCTAGATACGAATTCTCAAGGCGACTTCATTTAAAAAAAAAAAAAAGTTTATGGAGACAATACTGCACAAAGTCTGTTTTCAAGAAGCCTCAGTGAATTTTCTTGTTTCACCCAGTTGCTACGTTTCTATTGAAGCTGTTTCCTTACATGGAATAGACTATTTCTAGCACGCCTGCTGTGCTTTTCTGGCAAGCAGCTCATAAGAAATGTGGTATTTGATAAAACCGGACAAAGACTTCCCTTGTACTGCAAATCACAGCATCATCCCACTGGTGAGCTGCTCTGAGGCATTCTATAGTCCTCAGTGCCATGCTTTAGCCTGGTAACATTAATCTTCCTTTTCTATCAGAAGCCTCTGGCAAAGGCTTAGACTAGTGAGCCAAGTTATTAAAAACTTTCCTCAGCTTCATTACAACTGAGATTCTTGACACTATGCATCTAATTTCTGGTGGCTTCAGCACTTTTTTCTGATGTGCCAGAATGGGAAAACAAAAGGAAGCTGGAATCCTTCATGGCAGGACCCATTTATAACATAGGCAGATGGTAAAGATGTCTCTGATGCTAAACTATCTAAGTTGGTTGTACCTTTCCTTGTATCAGTGGTGAGAAGGTTCATGCTTCAAACTGGGATACTGGGAGTGCATCATATTTCTTAATGCTTATGTTCATATTGAAGCTTTCTTCTCTGTATTTAAAGAATGATCATTACTCTTTTATCATGCATGCAGGCACACAGGCACAGAAAGAGAGAGAAAGAAAGACTGAGAAGCTGCTGAATTATCTGGCTGACTTTTATTTTATTTATTTTGATCCAATGTTTTCTTTGCCTTTGAACTACAGAGTTCTTCCTTTTTCAACCTTGCCATCTCTGTACTTCTTTGTATGAATTAAAAGCTAATTAAGAACAGCATTTATGTGTGTAGGCAGGGGAGGTGAAATTATGATAAATTATATGGGAACAAGTGTAACTTTAAAAGACGTCAACACAAACACAAGCATTTCCCCTATGAGTCATAAACTATGTGGCTGTTCTGAGTTGATCCAGGAAATCTGCTTGCAGCATGAATGCAGTTTTGAACACAGTACATTGAACATCATATAACAAATGTGCAAACTGCAGCATCTGTACCAGGGCTTCATAGCACTTACTCAATAGAAACCTATTCATTTCAAAAAGAGGTCTTATCTACTAGGGCTTTAAATAGTCGAACATTCTCTGTGAATAAAAGTGGCATGCAAGTACAAAATTAACAGGCAGGTTCTGTTTATATTCATGGTGGAACCTAGATTTAAGCACAGGTTAGTTTAATTCTGTCATTAGCATTCTGTTATTATTTACCATTTTGGATTGATAGATCTTACAAAAATCTCTCTGAAGGAAGAATATATTGGGTTAAGAACCACCTGTTTAACTGGTAGTACAATTTTTGCATTGATTTCTTTTGGCTATTGTTGTTTAGAAAAACTGATTTTGCAATACCCTATTTACCATTTATTTTTGTTTGGTTTCTGCAGAATACTGCCCCATATTCACAAGAGAATTAGGAAGCAAGGAAAAAGATATTAAGCAATAATGTCACTAGGTTAAATGGAAGCACCACTGTAGTCTTGTGGTTGCCCATCTCTCATTTGTTTCAGTGCTACTTTTGCCCACTTTTATATATTCACAAGGAAAAGTAAACATAAGTCAGTTTTGATGGCTTTTACCTTTATAAATACATATGTAAGGTACTCAGGCGCGAGAGGGAGGGAGCGAGCGAGGGAGTGAAGGCTTTGTGTGTTTTGTTAGAATTCAGTTTGGCACTGAGAAGTCTAAAAGCTTTCATAGAAGGTACTACCATTACAGAAAAAAATACACCAGATTTTCCACTATCTCCAACAACTGCCCAGGTGTTATCTGTATTTGAAATTTTGCACAGCTTTTGTGATAAGTTAATTGCATGCATGCATGCTTAAGAACAGTCACAATTTTCATACTTGATACCCAACAAGCATCACACATAGGACTAATGGTACTTTTAAAATTCAGAACTGCTTTTCTCCAGGCAAGCTGCATTGGCTAAATCAAAGCCCATTTATTCCAGTGAGGCAACCCAAATTACATTAGCACATACACAACTCTTCCAAAAGAAAGACTAACTCAAATTAACTTCAGAGCTCAATACCCACAGTCTTCAACAGGCTTTCCCTTGTGATACTAGACTGATTGGTTTGAACCAAACACTGTATATAAATTTTGCTCAACAAATAGAAGCTTAAAACAATTTTCTGTTTCTAAGGGAAATATTTAAGCTGGTGGACTGAACCTCTGAATCTTGAAGCTTCCCCATCTGGCTAGCTAAGGCCGTTTCCTAATGCCTGCCTCTTAGCTACCCTATTGAGAGCTTTCAGTTATCTGGAGCTCAGTTCTCAATGGATGCCTGC